CTCTGGCAGTATGGGACTCTGTTCTGAAAATGGCTGCCAGTCAATGATATTAATACTAATGATAATGGTAGAAGTTATGACAGCAATAACACTATGCAGAGTAGCAGCAGGAAACCACAGATGCCCCTTCTCCCCTTCCTGTTAGCTGGAGTCCGTCTGGGGTTCGCTCACCTTCCCAGTTAAGTGGAGCTTCTCACACAGAGCTTTCTGCCACTCGCAGACGGCCTGTGGATCCTCCACCTGACAGTAGCGGTAGTAGAGGAGAACCTTTCCGGGACCGCTGCAAGAAAACAAGAGAAAACAAGCTTTATTTAGCTGATGTATAATAACAAGCACAAATAAACCGGCAGCCAAGAAAAGCTTCATAAGCAAAGTCAGAAACTCAAAACCCAAACATGTCGATCCGAATTTGAAAAGCGGAACAGAGAATCTGGCAAAACCTCAGGTTCCAATAGAATTTCAGCTTATTAATAAATCCAGTGCAGGTGGTTAGTGGCTGCCATTGGGCATAAGACACAGTGACCAATCCCCAGTCCATCACAGACACAGACAAGATAAAAAACCATACACGTGTTCAGGTTAGAATAAGGAATCTGAATAGCATATAATGCAATTTTAAGACAGATGGAGAATCCAGAGAGAACCAGAAGCCCTCTTGCAATGACACAAAGTGCATCATTTGAATTTCTTTAAAAATCTGAAACATTCACCAGGAAAAGAGGCCGTTACCTTTTAAGCTGCTCTTCAGAGATGTGGCTTATTTCAGGTATCCAGGCTGAAATGTCCACCGGTTCTGCTTTAGGCCCACTCGGCCTCTGTGTTTCAGCTTTTTCTTCCATCTGGGTGAGGAACTGTTTGAACGTGGTTCTCGTGAGCTCCTGAACTTCAGCGTTATGTGTCCGGGCGACGTGTTTGTGAACAGCAGAGTGCTCTTTAAAAGTCTGGCCGCAGCAGCTCCAGGACGCTCCTTCCTCAGGATGGATCCTCTTAGAGGCCACAAAAGCAGCAAAGGACTGTGCAGGTGAAAGAGCATAAAGTAGATATATTCAAACACATGTCTGAAGGCTTGTTTGAACGTATTACCACCAAGATAGCATACAAACCAGAGCACTTTTTTTTTCATTATTGGTGTACAAATGTCAACTTTGTCCTTTTGTACACTGATTCCTTAAAATTCTGCATAACTAAAACACTTTGGAAGGGACTATTTTCTTTAAACAATGCTAGTTGGATTATATTTTAGTGGAGCTTTTAATGGAGCTTTAAGTAACTGAAGTTAATATTAAATCTTCTAAAAAAAAAACAGAATCACATCCATCTACTAACATGTCGGTATGGTTAATATAGGGATAAATGGCCTCTGGCAGTGTTTTCTCACCTTCCTCCTACAAAAGCTGTAGTATCTTCTATGAGGGGCAGAAAGTTGTTTCTCTTGTTTTAATCCATAAGAAGATGAAGTTTCGAGCTCCCAGTTCATGAACTCCGAACAGGGTGTTTCAGCAGCAGCCATTACGCCTGTAATATTTGTTTTAGTACGGTTTAGACAGGAACTATAAACATTAACTATAAACGATGTTTAATTAAGTTAATAGTTGTTATATAGGGCATATTTTTAAATGTCATATGATAAAATCACACGTTTCCTCGCAGCACTTAACGGTGATCCTCAAACGTCGGAAGACAAAAGAGGACGGACCTTCCGCTTGACCCCTGAATGTCCCGGATGTGCCTCACTTGAATCGAACCGCTGTTATTTTTCTTCAGGAGTAACGGCGGCGGCCGGTGTGAATGATTTAAACTACCGACCACTTTCTCCTCAGTTAGTTTTAGTCTATAACTCATCTCTTCGTGGCTGTTTTGTGTTCACACAGAGCGGTGAAAAATGTCGAGGAGACGACACAGTGATGAGAATGACGGTACGTTTGAGGACCTTCTCTACATGTGTAATTCAGATTATGGGCTAACTGGCGGTTGCTGGCTAACGCTAGCATGTGTGTGGTGCATTTACCACGCTGGGTTTTATTTGTTTTGCCTGGGTATGAGTGGAGTTTTCCCGGCGTCATGTAAGAAAATAAAACGTATTTAACACAAAAGATCGATTATGACATGTTTAATGAGAAAGTGAGTGAGGAGCTGTAGCCGAATTAGTTTCAATTAACGGCTTCGTGGACCGTTAGCTGCTTGATAGCTAACAATAACCAAATATTGTGGAGAAAAAACTAATTATGGGGGCGGTTACTATTCATATGGAACATATGCGTAATTTTTTGAAAGTGTGTGACATTGGGCTGATTAGAGATTTTACAATTCAGTAAATAAATAACTTGAGCTAAACCCTTCTGTTTCTTCTTTGTACTTACAGTAGATAGTGGCTGTCATTCCGCCCTGCAGTCATTGGTGGTCCCTTGTTTTTGATGGGCACTTTGATTTTTGGTTATTACATTTTGCACCGGTTTCACAGACTGCTAGTAGTTCAGACTAGAATGCAAAAATTACATATTGTGAATGCATTTGCAGTGACAGCTAATTCGACATCTATTTCAGATGTTTAAAGAAGATTATTTGTACTAATCAACGTGCAAAGTGCACTGCTTTAGAAAAGTGTTTCCCAATCCTGGTCCTCTGCCATTGCTCTCAACTTTAGGTAATCTAACGCGTCCTGCAGGTTTTAGATGTCCCTGCTTTCACAACTGATTTATACCGATGCACCATCAGCCTTTTCAGTTTTCAGTAGATCTATTTAATCAGAAACAGGTTTGTAGAAACAGAGTACTAAAACAGCCCAGAGATTAAGACCCCGAGCTACAGGATTGTGTAAATATCTTGATCCATGTCTTGTTTTAAAATAATTTTTGGACAATGACTGTTTTCAATAAAAATGCAACCAAAATGGTTACGAACAATAGTGGAGCCTTTGTATCTGACTGTTCAGAAGAGTTTGGTCTTTCTTGTTTAGTTAAATATCCGGCGTTCCCAGATCTAACATTTTACTACTTTAAACTTCAATCATAAGTCACATCAGATTAAGAGTATCTGAAGGTAATTTCTTTTTTAAAAAGAGGGGAAAATCATCCAAACTTGATCTTGAGGCCTCATCAGAAGAGATTATTTAGGAAGCTAAACAGG